CAACACATCCGTTTAAGAAAATGTGTAGCAAGAAGAGCGCACTAAGACGAGCTTAAATTTCGTCCATACAAAATAATACACTATTCGAAGTCTTATTCTTAACTTCTTCCGATACAAGTGTGTTTGGTCAAGTGTGGTTTAAAAAATGTATATCCAATAACCCAAATTTGTAAAATCTATTACAAATTCATAGGCGCCCCCCCCCCCACTGAATTTTCACCTGCGGGCGCCCTTGGCTTTAAATCTACAGGACTTACGTTGTTATCAATTAATAAAAAAACAATTAGTAAAATAAAAAAAAATAGTACATTTATTACAAAATTAAACTTAATAAAACCATCTTGTACGTAAAATTAAGTATAGGATTACTCTTGTAAGATTTTAATTAAATTAATATTAGAAAATAATTAAAAGTAATTTAATAGCAAAAAAACTAGATATTTTGAGCATTTATTTTCAATCGCAATAATAAGTCTACAATTCTAAAGTCTTACCAGAAATTTATATTATAAACACAGAGAGATTAAAGAGACAGTTACATTATATCTGTCAAGTATCATTTAATTTTTGACTGATATTATATTATTTTTATTACTTGCAAAGTATGTGTAGTTGTTTTGTTGTAACAATAAATCATTCTACATGTTTACTATTATAATTTTTAAAATTGTATTCTCTTGAGCTGAACTGCCTTTCACATATTCGTGTCCGGTTGAATTACTTTTAAACTTTTTTTGTAATGATGAATAAAAGCAAAACAAATATTTATACAAGCCATTCGAATTTCTATTTTACTATATATATATATATACACGTTTAAACATATAAATTACGTTGCGTTGTAATTGACATCGTTTTAACTATTTCACTCTATATTAATTTACTTATTCATCATTTATTCCACTGATGAGTAATGATATTGAAAAGTTTTTGATTTATAATTATAGTTTTTACTATTGTATGTCAAATTATATTTAAAATTATTTAATTAAATAACTAAATTTACATAGACACCAATTAGTTTTCATGACTCAAGAACGCAGGAAATCATATATTTTATAAGTAGAAAGAAACAACTTTAACATAAGAACAATCAACTTTTAAACTACTGAGATTAATTTTATTTTTGGTACTGTATTTAACTTTAAGATTTGCGATATTTAATAAATAACTATATTAAATTTAATTATTTTCCATCCGATTATTGAAAATTGTCAAATTAATATTTTAATCCATGAAATCCTTAACAAAGTCATAAATATATCCTAAATAATATAAATAAAACCTAACCTATAAATGCATTTTATGATGGACACTTACCATTAGCAAAACTAGAGGGGGCTAGAGAAGTTCAAATCTTCCTTAATTACTTCAGGCTCTTAGAAAATATCAGGCATAGCCTCAAGTAACGATTTAAATTTTTAACCTTGAGTTTTTAAAGAGTCAGCATATTCCCGCCCCCTTCTATATTTGCGACAAGATACCAATAGTAAAAGTGCAGAATTCCAAACACATAAAATATAATATTATCTACTAGGCGAGGCTAATATATTTCTGTCTATATGTCAAAATGGCTTAAGTTGTATTGAAAACAATCGATTTTACTAAACTGATAAATTTATATGAATGAAATCGTTGTTAGCGTTAATTCTAAAAGCTTATATTATGCGAACTCAATTGATCAAATGATATCAAAGGTTGAACAATTTACTGAAAGAGTATGGTTTATGTAAATTGTGATCGTTTTTTTTTTTATGGGAACTTTTACTTAATAAAATATATTATAACGCATTTAGTTCGTCTTATTAGTAGAAAATAAAATAGATTATCCAATAGCCTTCTTTAAATTGGACATTTCTACAGAGAGTTTTTTTATTACCTAAATCGTATTTAACACTAAAACATAATAATATGACTTACTAGTTTACTGCTTCAATTTCATAACACGGTACGTGTCATTTATTATTTATATGGTGTACTAGGCTTTTTTTTTTTAATGACGGAATATGAATACGTTTTAAATATAAATTTATATCATATTATTATTATTATTATTTGGTTCGTAAATGCGACCCACGTGCACAGTGGATTAGTTGGGTCGCTGTCGTAAACGAGAAAGAGCATAATATGGTTGTTTAACTTCTGGTAATAAAACATTACACATACGTGTTTGAGGCATAAAAAAATAAAAATAAAACGATGTTGCATGGTATTTGAGGTTATTATATGGTTTAGTGGAGCTGTTGTTTTGATGCCTTTAAGCGTATAACTTTGGATTCGACAAAAAACACTCATATGTAACATTCGATATGTGTTGAATAATTTCGTGATGAGATTGTGATTCGGTTTAATTAAAAAAAAAAACTATATTCTGTTAACAAAGAATAGATACGTTGCACTTAATTAACAGTTAACTGGATGGTATCTGAATAACTACTAAAAAATTCTTAAGTCGCATTTTAACAATACCTGAGACGAGTGTTAACTTGATCAGTTTACAATATTTTGTAGCGTTCCAAAATTAGTATCATTGGACGTACACTAAAGTAGAAATAATTTGGCCCTAAGTTCTTGAGCTTATGTATTGAATACAGTTTGATGTAAAGGGTTACTCAATACGGATAACAAATTTTTTTTCTGACAAAATAATTACAATTTTATGGTTTTTATTTTTTATTTTTGGAGACACTTTAAAATTGAGTTTTAAAAGTTTATAGAGCTCTGAAAAATACTAAAAAGTGTTTATTAATTTTATAACATTATGCAAATTAACAAAAATGTTTTTAAAATTAATAAACTACAAAATTGCAATTATATTAAAAGATATTGAGTGTAGTATCCTTAACGAATCACCCTGTGTATCATACATTGTTGGATGTACTTGCAAAACCATAACTAGTGTTTAACTTTTTTAATTTATAGGCTACTTAAAGACTTTTGAAAAAATACGCTTAAGAACGAACTTGCAATTTATAAGAAATTTATTAGATAGATTCGCAGTTCTCACATTAAAATTCGCACCGCAACAACTCTTGACAATCAACTGAAGAAATAAATGTATGAGTTGGTTATACTATAATATTATCTCACACCATAGCGCAATGGGAAACTGTGCTAAAACAAAACAGGTTTTATTATTCAATTGCCCACAGTACCCTTTCTTATTCTTGTGATACAAGCAGATTATTAAAAAAAAAAGATACTTTTGAAAAAATGTATTAAACCGCACGTAATTTCTGTAAATTTTTAATTAATTTTAATTTACAGTTAAGAAAATAATTTGATTTTGACGAAAACATTGAAAATTAAGTATACATTTCTAATATACTTTTATTAATATTATCAAAATAATGAAAATATTTTTAAAGTTTCAACCGGAATTAAATTAAAAAAAAAAATACAAACTATAATTATGTTCAAAGAACCGTAAGTACTAGATGATTTGTCATAAATAATTTAGAGAAAAATAACACTATTAAGTGTTCTTTTTTCCTGCGTTTTAAATTAAAAAAAAGTAACTAAGGAGACTGAACATCTAGGAAAAATCATTAAGCTTAAAAATCTCTTCGCCGTTATTATAATTAGGATTCAACAAAATATTAGTTGCAATTTCCAATTAAAACAAATCTTCAGGTTAACTGTACATAAATCATATTAGATCATTACTTGTAATCAATCTTCATCCGTTAACACGCGTGTCATAATATAAAATAAATTCGAGTTGAGTTGTAACTTTTTGTATTTTTCAATAAACGTTACATCATGTTAAACGGTTCGGTTGTTTTTGACTTTAATAAATTGTGAAACAAACGAAAAATGTAAGTTTTAAGAATTATTTCGCATTTTGCTAGTTAACTTTGACACACGCCCGCCGTTTTGTTACACCGAGTTATAGCAACGCGATTGAATTTAATTCTCAAACATTTCAAATGTGAAATAAGTCTTATTACAACGTTGTGAAATGTATTATAAAAAATCATTCTCCGGCTATTTCGGTATGAAATGTAATCAAATTTGTCTGCATGTTTCTCAGAAAATATCAAAATCGTTTTAAACGCCATCGAAATTCGAACCGTCAGTTTAACATACAAGTCCAACTATTGCTTCGTTATTATTTGCACATAACAAGTATCTTAATACATTTCAATAATTGGCTGAAACCTATGTATATTTTGTTTACATAAATTGTAAAAATCAACAGTATCGATGGGTTGCATAGATCTAGCTAAATGTATTTCAAATCTGTCTTAAGTTCCTATTTCTAATATATCAGCTGATGTTTAAACCGTTTGATTCTACTGTATTCAAACCAATAGTTTCCAAAATTATTAAACACCCTGCTCATATTTTTTTTTTGTAATGTTTAATATTCATGAATTAAGTAGACTTATGAATTTGTACGATGAAAAACATTTTTTTGAATTACAATTAACGTTATTCAAAGTATTTATTATAAAAATAGAGGTATTCTTAGTATTACTGTGTGCAATCGTTAGTTATAGTTTAAATATTAAAATATCAATTTTTTTTTTACCCATAATAATATTATGTAATTTAACAAAATTGAGCAATATGATGAAACACACATTGATACGAGGGAATTAATATTTCTAATGGATTTATTTGATTGTATTAAAACTAAGTCTATTAAAAATGATCAAAACGGATCGCGTTATTTTTCACTTTAATGGGTTTCTTGTTCGAATCCAGAGGAGAACGTTGTGCCGCGTTTAAGGAGAAGAAATCAATATAGTCGTTCATAGTGAATGGGGTTTATTCTTTATCGCTATATTTTTTGTATGTTTTTTTTAATAATTACTCTGCTCCTACAAATTAAAGAAAACAAAAATACCGGACGACAGGGTCAAAGACGCACGCCGTGACAAGGTAAACGAAAGAAAGAAAAAATGAGAAGGAGAGTGATAGTTGATGTTACTAAACGTCTTACAAAAAGTGAATGTTTTGCTAGCGTCCAAGTTAGCCGTTTCCCAGGTTTATAAGAAGCGTGTTCAACTTTGGCTCATCATCAGTTAACCGCACCACCGTGAGTGAACAACTTGGTATAATAATATTTTAGTGGTGAATTTTGTGTTAAGTTTGTGATCATAATATATCCAGAATGATGAGCACACGCCTTGTTGTAAGTACAAATGTTATCTTATGCATAAATATTATTTAAAATATAAAAAAATAGTAGTCTTTCTCGGAATTAGAAAAAAAATCATTATACATTTTGCCGGACACCGAACACGTTAAACAATTTTATAACATGCAATTCGTTTTTTTGTTTAATTTTCAAGCGTGGTGTTAATCTGATAGATATTCAGAGAACATATTTTTTTATAATTTATACGTGAAACGTAGCCTGAAATTGAAAAAAGTATAATATTTTGTCTTTGAAGTAATCCGTTTTTACATAACACTTTTTTTAAGAATCAAATTTGTTTCAAAAAAGACTTACTGGATTGCAATTTTGATTTTTGAACAGGCTTTGTAATGGCCATTTCGAAATTACTTTTCTTACTCACTCTGTGATAACTGTTTCTAACAATATAAAGTATAGTAAGATTTTAATTTACCTTACACGTATTAATTCGTTTCATGGAACTATTTGACAAACAAATTTCAATTTTGAACGTAGTCTTATAATTTCTGAGTTTGAATTGAGTTAAACGGCCAATCTCACTTTTCAGATGTTGGCGTCGCTTGCGACTTTGACATTAGCTAGACCCGATGCTGGATACTCGTACAGCTCTCCATCTCCTTCTTTCGGAGCCCCATCCTCATCATATGGAGCCCCGTCGTCCGGCGGCGGTGGTTACGCGTCGGGCGGTTTCTCCGGCGGCTCGAGCAGCTACGCCAGCGCCCCGGTAAGTTCCGGATACTCCAGCGGTGCCAGTTCCGGATACTCCAGCGGCGGTAGCTCCGGCGGATACTCCAGCGGCGGTAGCGGCGGCGGTTACTCCAGCGGCGGTAGCGGCGGCGGTTACTCCAGCGGTTACAACTACGCGCCGGTCGCCCCGGTCGTACAAAAGCACATCTACGTGCACGTGCCGCCCCCAGAACAGGAATACGTCGCCCCCCAACAGATCCAATCGGTCGCTCCCCCGCAGAAGCACTACAAAATCATCTTCATCAAGGCCCCGACCCCGCCGACCCCGACCGTGCCGCAATTGCCACAGATCCAACAAGACTCCGAGAAGACTCTGATCTACGTTTTGGTCAAGAGGCCCGAAGATCAGCCACAGATCACCATCCCGACCGCGGCGCCGACCGCGCCGTCCAAACCCGAAGTGTACTTCATCAAGTACAAGACCCAAAAGGAATCCGGATACGGCGCCAGTAGCTCCGGTGCCGGTTTCTCTTCCGGATCGTCCGGGTTCGGCGCCAGCGGTGCCGGCGGATTCAGCGGCAGCGACTCCATCGGAGCCGGTCTTTCCTCCAGCTACGGATCTCCCAGCTCCGGCCCGTCCTCCAGCTACGGATCCCCCAACGCCATCCCGTCGTCCAGCTACGGATCCCCCAGCGCCAGCCCATCGCCGAGCTACGGCGCCCCCAGCTCCAGCGGATCGTACTAGACTTCAACGCCCAACCGTTGCACATACACACGCTTCGCCGACCGCAGGAAAATGTTGATTGTTACTTTTCTCCGGTCCCAAAACTCCCCCGAAGCGATAACTCCTTTTCCTCCCCATCCCTCGTTCTCCACTTCCTCCAACCAATTGTAATATAATCCATGTAAACTATATTATAATACTATGATATATTGTATTGATTGATTTAAAAAATAAAATGTTAATTAGTCTCGAGCTCAATTAAAAAAAAAAAAAGTCTATGTAAATTATCGTCATTTATTAAAGCTTAAAAACCGTATTTTTAAGAAAAATTGTTGTCATGATAATAACGATGAAAAATACAAGACCATTATTTTTATTATTATTTAGTTATTTGTTTTTTAACATAAAATCCGACCGTTTGTTTTTGTCGAAAACCGCCGTCCTGTTCCGCTGCGCGCGTACAAATTGTGCATTAGGTAACCATGCGACAACAATTTCAGTAATTTCGAAATACACACAACGCGATAGGTACACCTGTCGACGGCGGCGGCGGCGGCGGCGGCGTTGTGGGACGACTATTGGCCCCGGATAAAATAATAATTGACATATTTTTCGTTGCGTTTTCCGATGGTACACGAAAAAAAAAAAAAAACGACCACGACGGCCATTAACATTTCAACGGAATGCCCCCGTTGACTTTCGCCGGGCAATCATTATTATGCACCCGCGCCGGTGGAAAAACGCGTAACAGCAGAGTTCGGTTCGGTTACGATGGTAATCGTAACCGTCGCCCCACGATCCACCGGTAAGTACTAATAATAATAATAATAATATACATAAAAAAAAAAATAATGTAAATGTATATTAAAAAAAAAAAGAAGACAGAGATACGACCGCTTTCGCCCATCACGATCGCCGCGTGCATTCGACCGGCCTTTCTCCGGTGTGAGCACACACCGCGCGGCACCGAGGATGACCTCAGCCGGTGACCCGCGGTTGCGGGCGGGGGCGAGCGAGAGAGTGAAAATATGATCATTCAATTACACCGACCTTGACGGCGTCTGAAAAGCGCGACCTTCACGGACACCGCAGCGCAGGTGAGCGCACATGCGGAAGATAGGTGTGATACTGTTGCCGTCCAAATCCATAACACATTAATAATTCACTGTAGTGTTTTTTTTTAAATCTGGTTTACACCAGAGGCGGATAGGCCAACATTTGTGTTGCCGGGAAAATATTATACATTTTACAGGACGCCAAAAATACATAATAAGTACACGGGGCCCCGGCTCGTGGGAGGCAGCCCATACTTTACACAAAAAATGTATTCCTCTTTATTATTTGTATCACGAATAAAATTGAATACGGGTTTTTTTTAGCCTTAAAAAACGTGATCGATCATAAAATAAGTATGAAAACTGTAAAATGTGTATTAAATAAGCCCACCGGGATTTGCTTGGGTGTCTCGGTGAACCAACATCGGATCTGACGCAACTTATAGGCCAAGGTTTTCTTTAAACGAGTTCGCCAAAAACGAACTGCGAGAATGTCAAAATCATCGAAGGCGATTCGAGTGTGACAAATTGATCAGTCCAATTTTGGATCACTTTGAACAGATCGTCTAAAGTGATCATCCTTCGTGAACCGCGTAAACGTTAATCGGATTAGTTAGTCGTTCACTTTGATATTTACACGGCTATTTTTTAATAAATTCATCCAATGGGAACCTGGACTTTTTTTATTTAGCATAGCATATAATATTTGTTCGAAATTCATTATTAGGTACGTCCTGTTTCAAGTAATAAATTATTTAATACAAATGATTATTTAGAACATCTAATAATATGTGAACACATTTTTATTTGATACTATACCTATTATTTGAATGATTATATTCATTTTTTTAGTATAAATATATTTGTTTAAATAACTACTTATTATCCATTTGTATATTTTAATATAAAATAACTAATAAGTATAGGTATAAACAATTATTTTTTAAAGTAGATTAATACATTTGATTTTATTATTTTAACGGTCTTTACGACAAATAACTGATAAAAAATCTTATGGTTACAGGTATAGTTCAAACAATTAGTCTCCACTATTTTAACAATATTTCTTTTACTTTTGACAAGTTGTAGGCATTCAGGCATTTTTCGTTGTTTGAGATTAAATAATTTTTTTTTGTTAGAAAACAGTCACTAATTGATTTTTAATTGTTCCTTCTTCAGTATGGTTTTTAATACTTTTGCATTTGTTACCAATAGAGATTAGAATGTGGTCCGTGAGCTTGCTTTTTTAATAAGCCGTTTTGTTCATGGTTTCCGTGGATCGGCTTTGGGACACATAACCAATAATACAAAGTAACGTCTTTGCGGTGACCTGGTATCGCCCATCGGTTAACTAAATAATTTATTAGATAATTATTACCACCGTTGATGGATTTAAACTTTTATGACATACGACGGTTTTGGTCTAACAATTTTTTTTCCCAACACGCGACTTTCGAACAAATAGCCCTTCGAATGTAGTCAACGTGCATACTGATAATCTTACACAATCTCGGCCAAATAAGGCGTTATGCCGCAGGTAAAATGTAGTATTGAGTAAGTACAATCCGAAATAAAAACTATACAATTATTTGTAAGGTTTTTGTTTCTTAATAAAAGTAAAAAAATAAAAAAAACACATTTTTATTACAACAATATAAGAGAATAATTATTTTCTTTAAAATAATATTTGTTTGTACTGTTGTAAATTTCTGTTTTTAAAGGAAATCGCTCCGTTTGATTCGGTTTTGAACACCTTCGTTTGTTTATTTAAAAAAATCAGGAGTTAAGTTTAAACCTACACAAAGGAATCTTTATCGGAATCCGTTCTTTGTTCGTGATAAGATTACATAAGTTGGATGTCGCTTTACGTTTATTATTTATTGAAAAGTTTGTTTTTTCATTCGCTTTTCAACATATTCCTACCGGTCGTCGAACCCGTTCGCCAGTTGTTTACCGATCAGAATAGATAGTGAAGTATTAACAGTCGATTATTATGTCACTGAAGTACAAAATTACCGCCACTCCGGAAAAGGTTATTTAACAACGTTTCTACAGATAAATTGCTTGAACAATAAAATAAAATATTAACGGGTTACACCAGTTAAAGGCCGATAACAATAAAAACTGCTATTTCATTCAAATGTTATCACACTAGTATATTTTGACCAATGAAATAACTTATTGAAAAACCCCAAGAAATAATCAACATTTCTGTTCATTTATGAACTGTTAGATTTGGTACTGTTTTTTTTGGTGTAAAAACCAATTAGCAAACGTTGCTTACTTTGTTGTTCTCAAATTTAATGAACATACGTGTAAAAGATACAGGTTGTGTACTAAACACATGTAATTATCGAGTGTATTTTTAAAAAATTAATAAGCGTAATTTATATTATTATATGTCTGTTAATAGAGTGTATTTTATTTGTTTTCTTCATTTGCATACCCGATTCTTTGTATGTATAAGTCATGCTCTAGTCCTCGCATACCCACATTAATACCGAAATAATAGAAAGTAGCCGAATAATAAATGCATGTATTGGTATTGAAATCTCTTCTGAGGGCTTTTATATTGTGTTAATCTTTTAACACACGATTGTTCTATTATGCTAGACGTTTAATTTTCTCTTAAATTATTGTTTTTCTCTGTCAGTTTGAATTCGTACGTTGTCGTTCGTACATTAGTCATCTATTTTATATGTTAAAAATTTTAACTGACTTCACTTACCAATAATAACAACGCGGTTTCGAAACAAGAACTAAAATAATGTATATTTTCTTGAATTAACTCGTTTTTTTTAAATCACCTTCAAAATTATTAAAATACTTTAAGACAAAAATCAAAATTTTCTATGTTCAAAAAACCTCCAATAAAATCAAACTAACTGAGAGTACTAAATATATGAGGAAAGAATCAGAATCAAAATGGATTGACTAAAAAAAAAAAAAATGTAATTCCAAGAGAAAAAATATTTAACTAATCATAATTACTGCGTCGAGTGGTTTATATATTTTTTTCAAACCGAAAGAAACTCTCAAATGTCGTGGACTGCTTAAAAAGGCGTTTATGGTTCGAGGTATTTTATTCGGAATAAAGGCTCATTTTTATTTTTTTAACAAAGACACGAGAATAGCACTTGTAGGCACCGGCCGAATATTACTGTAATTACTCAAATGAAGAAGAAATAAAAACGAAAGTTGTTAAAAGTTGAAATTGCCAACCGTTAATAATGTTTTTGTCTTAATGCCGCGCAAGGATTTAGGATATAAATTAAGTTTTTAATCGTGATTAGTGTTGGACAGTTCTAATAAAAAATGATTACGACATACATCCGAAACAGTAATAATATAATAATCATCATTTGCGTTTAAACACATTAATCACGTCACTTAATGTGTGTTATACCTAATTTGTTAAATAATATCACAGGAGAAAGCCGATTTTATAATAAAACTATTTGCGTTGGTGATAAATGGTTAACTGACACACGAGTACTTAGATGGATGAAGCACTTTGTTTTTTGATATTAGTATATTGCGTTCGATTTGTCAAATCATCAAAACCCAAATGTTATAATAATGAAATTCCTAAATCGTAGAGTTCAGATGTAAATCGCTATTTTTTGTTCCCGGTGGGTTTATGTGCAATCCTGTAAGATTCGTTTTCATTGGACATGAGCCTTTGTAACGTTTGTTGACGGGTATAGAATTTACAACAATATTGATTGCATTAAAAAATGATCTGTGCTTTTGTGGCTGTTGGTCTAGGTAACCTAATTTAACCGCTTAACGGTTTTTTTTTTATCTATGTAATTATGTCGTTACCCGGGAGGTGAAAATGTCAAATTACATAACGTTAACATTTTATTATAAGTCGGGCACTATTTTATCTATATAATAACTGATGGACTAATTATAATTTCAAAAATAATGATATATTTATACATTATGTATTATTCAAAATTATGTTTACAACCACTTTTCGGACGTTAAGTGATATAACTTATGTACAAGAAATTGAGACACGGTACTACTACCTATTAATTATTATACACGAATGGCCACCAAGAAGTGCTATCGTGACGCACGTTCTATCTATTTTTTTTTTATCTTACCACTGTCGGCATAGTAATGCCTATACTGTCCGTAGACTTAATCAAGATAATATATAGTTAATTATGTATATACTCGTAAATCAAATTTACTAGACGAGAAAGCAAAAATATAACTATTAAATCGTATACTCCAATAATTTGATTACTTGTAATGTTAGTAACTGTATTGACCAGTTAGATCATCGTTCGTGGGCGTTTTTGTAAAGCATAGT